CTTGGGATCAGCATTGAAATTGTCTGCGGCGATGGAAAAAATGAACAGAGCGTGCAAGTCTCCTGAATTTAGAACCATATAAAAAAAAAAGAGAGAGAGGGAGCTTTGATACTGAACCAACCCATAACCCAATTGTTCAAGCTAATGCAAATGAGTAAGGAGGGAACATACGGGATAATCGAATCTTTTTGTTCCCTTCTAACCCAGTCTGTATATTTGTTGCACGTCTGACAAAATGCAGAAAGGTTTTTGGAGGCCCCCAGAATGCACACGTGTAAAATAAAAAATTCTAAGCTTTTTTTAAACAAACAGTTTGTGCAAATATCTGGCGAAGTTAGAGAAGGGAGCATTGGTGAGTGCTTGGTGAGGTTTTATTCCTTCTCTGCATACTGCGAAAAGCAAGTGTTATTTGGTTTAAAAAAAAATAAAGGGGTAAGTGGGTTCTGATTTATATATATATATATATATATTACAAACTATTCTAAAAATACGAGTTCCAGGTATATTAGTAAAGAAAGAAGCAGACATTCTGCGAGCTCCGGAACTTAATTTTTTTTTAAAAAAATTAAAAAATTAATTCTCTGATGATGTCAGCTGACGAAAGCTTAGTAGAATAATTTTTTTTAATTATTTTAAAATTTTAAGTTCCGGAGCTCAAAATGAAACCAAAGCTCTTAAGTATTTGAGTTTCCTCTTCAGGATCTGGCCTTCTAAAGAGCAGCTAGGGTTGATCTCCTCTAGGACTGACCGGTTTGATCTCCTTGCAGTCCAAGGGACTCGCAGGAGTCTTCTCCAGCACCAGAGTTCAAAGGCCTCCATTCTTTGGTGCTTAGCCTTCCTTATGGTCCAACTTTCACAGCCATACATTGCAACTGGAAAAACCATAGCTGTGATTATACACACTTTTGTTGACAGGGTGATGTTGCTGCTTTTTAGTATGCTCTTAACTGGCTACCCTTCTCCAATTCCAACCCAAAGAGAAGGTTCCTCCATCCTCCAACGGCATCATAAAGCCACTCACCGTCCTTCTACAAGGAACACTCAATGTTGATTGAAATTTCCTCCCTTTCTCCTGCCCCGTCCCTTGATCCAAAGTGAAGGCCATGGTTATACATCACTATTACAAAAAAAATAAATAAATAAAACTTTGAAGCCTATAATTCACAAGGAAACAAAGGCAAAGAACTGGTGGCATCTGGACGAAGGGGGAAGGGAAGATTTCAACAACAACGGCACCATAAAATGTAGAGACACTTTGATCAGGAGCTGGAAGGAGGCGTCCACTCAGGCTTTAACCAAAGTCTGATATTTGTGTAATCGGTCCTTTATGTATTGCCAGTTCAGAATAATCACATATTTAAAAAAATTTATATATATAGGCCCCAACTTACCTCATCCGCCTAGTAAGCCAAAGCATAAATAAATAAATAAAAAGAACAATGGAATTACTATTACTCACTCACTGACTCCCAGCTACATCACACGATTCTTTATAATTGCTGGCAAGAAGATTAATGTTTTGTAAAATATCAGACTAAGGTCACAAGGGGGGGTGTGGGGGGCTGTCTAAACACCAAGAGTCTCAAATCCCTCCTTTCTCTCTCTCTCCCCCCTCTCTTTTTATGGAAATGAACTTCAGAGCGTTGTTGCTAATTATTGTGATTTTTCAGATGTTGGAAAAGTGTCCTCCACCTTTCTCTCTCCCCCTCTCCCCTTTCTCTCCCCCTCCCCTGCTTTTAATGACTTCTCTTCCCCCCCCCCCATTTTGTCACAAAAACTACCCTCTCCAAAATACAAACAGGATTATTTACTGATCAATCGGTTTTAATGAGTGCTGCATCGAAAATATTCCGAACGTTTTTTTCCCTCCTCTTTTGGAGGGGGGGGGGTGCGGTCCTTCAATTTGATGGCCAGAAAATGGCCTTAGAAGCATCTTTGCAAAGTAGGAGGAAGTTTAGTGACATGTTGTGGTTGCAAAGTCCTTGCATGATGAAATAGCTAAAGACTTGGTGTGCATGTACTTTTTCCATTGTACAGTTACCACCAGTCCAGGAATCCAAAATGTTCTTCAATTCAGCATCAAAGGAAAACATTCAGTATTGGTGATAATCACAATTTAATAGGATAATTGTTTCAGCTCTATAACCCTTGAAATGTTGGTTGTGTCATAATGAAATCCCTGCGGGACCTTTCGATTGAAATCATTGGTGTTTATCTTTCTCCCATTCTCTCTCTCTCTCTCTCTCTCTCTCTCACACACACACACACACACACACACACACACATACACACACACAATCAGAGGCTCACACATTCAGCACAAGGGCACAATAGGTGCAGCCAGTCCTTCCATCGAGTGGATTTGACCATTAGCCAGGGGAACAGCTTGCCTCCAGAAGTTGTGGATGCTTCATCCCTTAAGAATAGATTAGACAGCTTTTCTCCACAATTGTTTTTACTGGGTATAGTAAAGGGTTTTACATTGGACGAAATTAAGTTGATATTGTATATGATAACAGCAGCGAGATTATTGATAGGTAAATACTGAAAAAATGAAGCTTTGCCCACTATTGAAGAATGGACTGTGAAGATGGCCAGTTTTGCAGAGATGGCGAAGATTTCAGCATATCTAAAAGATCGCTCACAAGAGACTTATGAATGGGAATGGAAAAAATGGATAGATTATGTGCAGAACAAATATCAAACTAGGAAGTATCAAATGGCTTTTCATTGAAAGTATTATATAAAAATAGAAATATTTGAATTTTGTGAAGATGAAAAATTATATGGGGGTTTGAGGGGTTCAGGTTTTATAAAAAGGGGATTTTCATGGGATTATATTCTGTGGAAGTCAGGGGGGAGGGTTAGGGGGGGTTTGGGAGGGTTAGGTTGGGGAGTTTGGGGTGGGTCGGGGGGAAAAATGGGGTGAAAATGTAATTGTAAAACTTTTGCAATAAAAAAAAAAGAATAGATTAGACAGCCACTTATCTGAAATGGTATAGGGAGGAGGTTGGACTAGAAGACCTTCAAGGTCCCTTCCAACAGTGGTGGGTTGCCCCCGGTTCGGACCAGTTCGCAAGAACCGGTAGTAAAACTGGTGGGAGGCTCCGCCCACTGACCCAGACATCATCAGGAAGTTTCTGCGCCTGCACAGAAGTTTCTGTGCATGTGCAGAAAAGTGCGCGGTCCTGTTGCAAACCGGTAGTAAAGGTAAGTAGAACCCACCCCTGCCTTCCATCTCTATCATTTTGTGTCACAAGCAGCTTCGGAGAAGTGCGAAGAGGGGGCATTTCTGGAACCTGGCAGGGGCAGAGAAAGCCAATCCGTGCTAACTAAAGAGCACTTGGGATTTAATGGAGACACTGTCCAGCTGTTAACACCAGGTGCCACTCTGATAGTAAAACACTCTGAAATGAAGAGCTGCAGAAGAGGCCATAATGAATGATGACTAAAGAATAGATAACTAGGCCTTGTAATGTTATTTATTGGAATGCATCCTGCAGCCGCATCTCCCGCTGAAGGATGCTAATTTTTGGGTTTTATTGCTGACTCATACACATCTGCATTTGAGTTAGCATGGAAAGCATGAAGAAAGCCAGCAAAAGCAGGGATGAGGGGGTGAGGGCAGAAAACAATGCCGAAATGTTGCTTGTTTCGAAATGTCTGCATGAGAACACGGATGGGGAGCGTTGATTTTATCACAGCACCCAGGCCCTGATGGAAACAAAAATGCTAAAAAGTCACTATTTAGCAGATAGATAGATAGATAGATAGATAGATAGATAGATAGAGAGAGAGAGAGAGAGAGAGAGAGAGATAGAGAGATAGAGAGATAGAGAGATAGATAGAGATAGATAAGATAAGATAAGATAAGATAAGATAAGATAAGATAAGATAAGATAAGATAAGATAAGATAAGATAAGATAAGATAAGATAAGATAAAATAGATTGAATTCTTTATTGGCCAAGTGTGATTGGACATACAAGGAATTTGTCTTTGGTGCATATGCTCTCAGTGTACATAAAAAGAAAAGAGACTTTTGTTAAGAATCATAAGGTACAACATTTAATGATAGTCATAGGGTACAAATAAGCAAGATGACAGACTCAATAATTCCTCTGTAGAACTGGATCAGCAGCTCCTTGGGCAGTTTGAGTACCTAGGACCCCTCATTTCAACCCTGAGGCTACAAATATTCTCCTTTATTGAGACCTCTCCTTTTTTGATAGCTGGCCTAGCTATAAGAACATCTGATTTTAAAGAGGTACAAGAAAGATTGAAGATAGCTTTTTTAAAAATTAAAGGCGGCTCCCATTTCCCCAAGGTCAGATCTGTATAGTCAGTACAAAAATGAGCAAGACCAGAGATTTCTCTCCCCCACCCCGCCCCACAAAATGGCTAAGTAAAATAGATTTTGTTTGTCCCTAGTTGAATCATTTTTTGGAATTCAGTAGACCCATCTGAAGCTGAGTCCTAGGTTTTTTTGCAGCTGTTTTCAACACCTTGGTAAATCTTCCGCAATGCACATTTTGGTGTTGTTAGTTGTGAAGTCTTGTCCGACCCATCATGACCCCATGGACAACGTTCCTCCAGGCCTTCCTGTCCTCTACCATTCCCCAAAGTCCATTTAAGCTCACACCTACTGTTTCAGTGACTCCATCCAGCCGCTTCGTTCTCTGCCGTCCCCGTCTTCTTTTGCCCTCCATCGTTCCCAGCATTAGGCTCTTCTCCAGTGAGTCCTTCCTTCTCATTAGGTGGCCAAAGTCTTTGAGTTTCCTCTTCAGGATCTGGCCTTCTAAAGAGCAGTCAGGGTTGATCTCCTCTAGGACTGACCGGTTGGATCACCTTGCAGTCCAAGGGACTCACAGGAGTCTTCTCCAGCACCAGAGTTCAAAGGTCTCCATTCTTTGGCACTCAGCCTTTATTATGATCCAACTTTCACAGCCATACAATGCACATTTATTCCTAGCTAAAAAGACCAGAAGCATCTTCTGACCTCCAAGCTCAAATGTAACATACTTTATTGAAGTATTTAAGAAAAAACAAAAAATCACCATGCACTTTATTTCTCATTCCTAATAGGGCATTTGTCTTTGTTTCTTCACATTTTCTCCCTACTATTTTGAATGCCATTATGAAGTTAAAGAAGACAGACTGCGCCGTCTAAATGAAAGCAGTAAAAGGTAATATAGTATATTTTCTCCATGTCAGGAGGGTATTAATTTTGCCTTACATAAGAAAATGCACAAATCACATCCTCTACGAGAAATCATTTATAATGTAATTATGCATGAGTAAACACTGCAAACCTCTCAAATATAAGCTGCAACCATAACCACAAAGAATAGTTACAGTTATATATAGCTCGTTTTAGATAGCATTAGTCTTTTTTTCCCCCCACCCAAAGTAGAGGAAAGAACTCTGAATAAATTAAAAATAAGGAGTTTCCAAAAAAAGAAAAAAAAAACCCACAAAAGCATCAACACGCAATTCTGGCACACGGAATTATTTGCTACTTATTTTGCATGTTAAAGGCCTAAGAACTTGCTATTATTTATTACATTTGTAACTCTCAATATGGCCACGGTAGCAGCAGACAAGCAATCATCACTACAGCTAATATAAAACAACATGAAAACCGTCAAGTTAAGAATCACCGTCTGGCCCAAAACAGTGAGAGGTTCAGAAAGAAAGTTCCATAGAAATTTTTTGTCGGGAGCCTTCCACTCTCTCTCCAAAGCCTTTTCAAAGACACGGAGACAGAGTCAGTCCCGTAACATACATGTTTACATGGGTGCAAATTGGTTTAAATTGAGTCATTGAACCATAGGGGTGGATGGGACCTTGGACATCTTCTAGGTGAGAATTCCTACCCAAGGCAAGAATCCTCATATAGCCCTGGACAAATGATGGTCTAATCATTTCTTGAAAGCCTCCAGTGATGGAACATCCACATCTCCAGGAGGCAGGCTGTTCCAATAATTGATTGTTCTCATTGTCAGGCAATTCCTCCTTATTTCCAGGTTGGCTCTCCTTCTGACGAGCTTCCACCAGTTACTTCTTCTCCTGCCCTCAGATGCTATGGAGAATAAATTGACCCCCTCTTCTCTGTAACAGCCCTTCAGGTATTGGAAGATGGCAATCATGTCTTCCCAAGGCCTTCTCTTCCTTAGACTAAATATTCCCATTTCTAAACATCCCATTGCACTTAATTAATTAATTAATAATATTAATGGTGGCACAGTGGACTAAGTGCTGTTAAAGTAGTACTTAGCTGCCAGCTGCCTGCAATTACTGCAAGGTCAAATCTCACCAGGCTCAAGGTTGACTCAGCCTTCCATCCTTCCGAGGTAGGTAAAATGAGGACCCGGATTGTGGGGACCTCGGAAGGCTGAGTCAACCTTGAGCCTGGTGAGATTCGAACTGGCGAACTGCATATTGCATAGCACTGGATAAATACTACGCATAGAATAGCCCAAAACACACATTCTGGTGAGAGAGAAGTTCCCCTGAGGATGGGCTTCCGCATGTCCAAAAACTCAGATGCCCAACCTCTGGACTGACCCAGATTGGATCCTGCATATCTAATTCCCTTAGTTGTTCATCATATGATTTAGTCTCCAGATCTGTGATCATCTTTCGGGCTCTTCTCAGGATTCTTTCTAGGTCCTCAACATCTTTTTGGTATTGTGGCGACCAGAACTGGACACAATAGTCCAAGTGTGGCCTCACTAGTGCAACATAGAGTGGTACTATCCCTTCCCGTGATCTTGATGCCATCCCTCTCTTGATCCACAACATATGGATGTGATCAGTGGTGGGTTGCTCCCAGTTCTGTCCGGTTCTTGCGAACCGGTAGTAAAGGTACCCCTGGATGTAATCCTTCAGCTCGATCGAATTGTCAGCCCGATCCACTAAACCATTTTGGGGTTCCCAATCATCCAGATCAGTCTGAACTAATGTGGAGCGTGGAATAATCATAGATGCCTACCGAAAAACTGGAAGGATTTTTTTCCCTCCTCTCCTCTGCTACATAATAAAATAATGAACTACTAAAAACTGTAATATTTATCCACCTTGCAAAGGGTAGTTTTTGGAACTGAAAGGGGAATATTTGCACACTGGAAGATGAAAAGCATTGCAGAAGTGCTAATTACTTCTGTTTTTGCTTGAAGTACCTTTCCTTTCCTCTTTCGTCCCCCTTTATTTCATTTCTCTTTTGCTATTGTTTTCAGCCTGATTTAATGCTGTAATGGCTTTGAAGGTAGACGCCTAATCTGGAAATCAGTATTATTTCATAGCACTGGATAATATTGAATATTTATCTGCAAAGGACGCCAAGATAATATCTCCTTGCATTCAGAGCTCAAGGTAATATTTCTCCTGAGCAATTCCTCCCCCAGACATAGCCAAATCTTTTATGTTCAAGAAGAGGGAAAAAAAAAAAACTTTAGCAAGAAGAAAATGTGCCTTCAACATTTGCTGCTTGATCATCACAAGCAACTTAAAGACTTTTTATTGATTCATTACCTCAGGGTGCAGTTAGTCCTTGACATACGGCTACAATTGAGCCCAACATTTCTGTTGCTAAGCCAGACAGTTGTGAGCTTTTGCCTCATTTTATGACCTTGCTGGGCATGGTTGTTAAGTGAGTCACTGCAGTTAGTGACAGGGTTGTTAAGTGAATCTGGCTTCCCCCACAAAGGAAAGGGGAAAGGTCACAAAAAGGGATCATGTGACATCCCCCCCCCAGGGACACTGCAACGGTCATAAATATGAGTCAGTTGCCAAGGGTCTGAATTTTGACCATGCATCCATGAGGATGCTGTCGTAAGTGTGGAACATGATCATAAGACAACTTTTCAGTGCCATTGTAACTTTGAATGGTCGTTAATGAACTGTTATAAGTCAAGAGCCGAGGTGGCGCAGCGGTTAGAGTGCAGTACTGCAGCTACTTCAGCTGACTGCTAGTTCAGCAGATCAACGGATCAAATCTCACCGGCTCAAGGTTGACTCAGCCTTCCATCCTTCCGAGGTGGGTAAAATGAGGACCCAGATTGTTGGGAGCAATATGCTATTTAGTATACTGTCCTTGGTGTAAGCCGCCCAGAGTCCTTGGAGATTGGGCGGCATAGAAATATGACTAATAAATAAATAAATGAATAATAAGGACTACCTGTATACAGTTGGTGGTAGATGGGAACTAAGAGCTTGGCCAATCATCACAAGATGTTGCTGTGAACTTCTCAACAATCTCTCTTGGCATCTGTTTTTGGTCTTCCACCTGAAGGTTCCAAGAAGAGGGGAGAAATAACGTAATTGAAAATTAACAGCGAATGCACAAAACTGGAAAAAATAATACGATACCATCAGAGGAAAGTGTGATAAGAAAAGTGCTAGAGCGCGCTGAGATGGATAGATTAACAAAAGAAATAAAAGACAAAGGAGAAACGGAATATTATTTGGTATGGAAGGTATGGTATAACTGGTTAGTTAGAGGATAGGTGCAAAAGCTAAGAAAATAACAAAGAAAGAAGACTTAGGAATTAGAAAATAGTAATAAATCTGTATAAATATAGATGACACAAAATGTATGTTTATAAATTAGTATATTAATATACTAGTATGTATAAAGGATAATGGAACCACATGTATAGATATATAGATATAAGGGGAAAAATGGATGCATAGCGGATGTACACCAACGCGGAAATGTTGCAAAGAAGAAAACTGTTAAAGACTATTAAAAACTGTTTAATAAAAATTGATTGGAAAAAAAAAAGAAAATAAACAGTGAAAACCCATAGGAAAAATAGAGAAAAGGGGGATTTTCCATCTCCCTCTGGAAAACAGGTCTGCTGTTAAACCGATCTAGTTCTTTGAAGACTTTAGCTTCTCAAGGAATAAATTCGGAAACAAGGAAGTGGTGGAATGAGACCTCTTCCTTGGCCAATCAAAATCAAGAGCCAAATGGGATGAACACAATTCTACTCTATCGGATTCAGATAGGTTCTTGGGGGAATTTCTGGGTGAATGCAAGGCAAATGGATTGGATCAAAAGAAAAATTTGGCAGAGGGAAGAAGGCGATTATTATTGCTGCAGTGGTTATTATACAAAATATACCATTTCCATTTAAGGCCAGCCATGACTGCCGTTGAACTAATTTAGTGGGAAAACATGATGCTTGAGGCAAGGGAAGGTCAAATTATATTTCTCCCCCGAGAACTGAGGTATGAATAACGGTTTGTTTGCACTACCATCTCTAAGCTTTCAGCATAAATTTATTTTGCTCCTTTGTATCGCTCTGTATTTATCGTGTCCTCAAAGAAAATGGGAAAAAAAAGTCTTGTTAGGGAGTTTATGGATGGGAGCAAACGAGCAGAGCCTGAATTCTGCAAGTCCCTGGGAATTCTGCACTTTGCACAGCTGCCAAAATCGACTCCTTCTGCTCCTTGTACATCTGTCAAAATCAACCCTTCTGCTCCTTGTAAACATCTGTCAAAATCTACTCCTTTTGCTCCTTGCACATCTGTCAAAATTAACTGTCAACCTGGTAAAGTCTTCTGCATATTCCTTGGAGAGCAAAGGGGACCAACGAGGTGAAGCACATAAACACCTGGCACATCACTGGAAGGCAAGATCCTGAAACTGCATCTCGCTTATGTGGTCCATGTCACGCAGGGGAATTCACTGGAGAAAGCAATTATGTTGGGAAGAATTTGCGGTAAAAAGGAGACCATGCCATCAAAGAACAAGGTGGCTGGACACTGTCAAAGATGACACCAGACAGAGCATAAAACAACTCAAAGAAGTAGTGCAAGATTGGAAGGTGCGGGGGAGACCTGGCCCATAGAATAACCAAGAGTTGGATTCAACTAAATGGATAAAATCATCCTCATCATCACATCTGTCAAACATCTAGAACAGGGGTGTCAAACTCAAGGCTCGTGGGCCGAATCTGACCCACTGGGTGCTTAGATATGGCCCACAGGGCTGCCGTGGAAACAGCAAAGGACCAGCCCGAGGTGCCTCTGCCAGCGAAAAATGAGCTCCATTTTTGCTGGCAAGAGAGCTTCACAACCGAAAACGGAGCCCAGATGCCCCCAACCACAGGTGCCCCCAACACAGATGACGTTGAGTTGGCCATGCCCACTCTAGCCTCCCTGAAGTCAAACACAACCCTGATGCGACCCTCAATGAAATCAAGTTTGGCACCCCTGATCTAGAAAGTACCACGTTGCTGAAGATCTGCTATAACCTTCAGCTGGTCTCCAAAAAGTTAAAATTGCCTTCTGTTTCTGAACAGCGTGGTCTTTTAATTCTTTTTTTTCCCCCTTTTTTCTTTCTTTTTTAGTGACAAGTTCTGTTCCTCCTACCTCTTGTCTTACAGGGCCGTTTCCTTTCCAGAGAATCTAATTACTAGTTTCAAATTCTCCCCGCTCTCCCTTCAGGGAAGCTTGATCTGTTTACTTGAAAAAATAAGGATGACATTCCTTCCATAAATCTCTGATAATGTCAAGCTTTTGCCGTGATGGAATTATGACGTTTTGGGACGAATTATTTGACTGCTCTCTGTTTCCCACCACATAATTAAGGTAGTTGTGCGTTAAAGGAAGTAACTTTGTTCAAAGCTTCTTGACTGGCGGTACCTTGGATTTTCGCCTCGATTGCTAACAGCTTCTTCTATCCCTTCCTTTAACAGGAGGGGCTCACATGTCAACAGCCCCCAACAACAAGAACTTGGGATGGTTGTGTTGCGGTTTAGCCAGAAATCCAGACAAAACAAGCTTTATTCTCTTGGGGGTTTTGAGCAAATAAGTTAATAAATGATGACAGGGAGCATTTAAAAGCACCAGGGAAAGCTCCTAGCTCCCCACTCCTCAGAGTGGATTTTTAGTAACGGCAATTGTTTCCTTTCTGCTCACAAAGTGTGGCTTGACCAACTGCAGCTTTCTCCGTTTGTTTTCCCACAATGTGCTTTCTTTGAGGTGCAGATTCTGAAGAGCGCTCTCCAAAAGGGCGACCAAATTAGGCTCTGGGTGGATTGCATCTCTTTCTTATGCTCCGTTCTTATTGATTCCTTCAAGATTTTTTATTATTATTATTATTATTATTATTATTATTATTATTATTATTATTCTCTAACTTTTCCTCCAGGAGCTGATGATGTTGATGATGCTATCCCTACAGACGTGTCCGACTCTTGGCGATTCTGTGGGACTAGGGCAGTGGTGAAATCCATTTTTTTTTACTACTGGTTCTGTGGGCGTGGCTTGATGGGCGTGGTGTGGCTTGGTGGGCATGGCTTGGTGGACATGGCAGGGAAAGGATACTGCAAAATCTCCATTCCCACCCCACTCCAGGAGAAGGGTATTGAAAAATCTCCATTCCCACCCCACTCCAGGGGAAGGATACTGCAAAATCCCCATTCCCTCCCCACTCCTGAGGGAAGGATATTGTAAAATCGCCATTCCTACCCCACTCTGGGGCCAGCCAGAGGTGGTATTTGCCAGTTCTCCGAACTGTTCAAAATTTCCACTACCGGTTCTCCAGAACCTGCTGGATATCACCCCTGGACCAGGGTCTCTCCACAATCTTCCGATCTTGCGTGACTTTTTTCAGTAGTTCTATGCTCTGGCTGGTGTCGGCTTCGATGGTGTCTAACCTCCATGTTTGCCTGGTTTCCTTTGACTGCTAACACTTCCAATTGTAATTGCTTTCTCCAGCGAATTGTCCCAACATGGCCAAAGTAAGTGAGATGCAGTTTCGTGATTTTGCCTTCTTAGCGACACACCTGGCGTTATGCATGCCAGAACTTGCTTATTAGTCACCTTTGCTGTCCAAGGGTTGTGCAGGAGCTTTCTCCAGCACCAAAGCTCCAGGAACTAAAGGTGACCTTTTTGATATATTGGTATATCAAGGTGATGAATTCCAGAAGGCAAGAGCAGCTAAAGCAAAAGGGATGACTCGGGAGTAAGGCCAGGAGATGATTGGCTCTCCCATAAGGCTTAAAAGAGCAGCAAAGGATCTTGGGCTCTTTGTAGGAAAGCAACATTGCTAAATCTGTTTCCAGTCGGTGTCTCTTGTTTCTGAACTTCATGGGGCTTTGCCAAGAAAGGCCTTTGGCAGGGTGCCAAAGAAGATAAAGATTTGTGATAAGCCCGAAGGACTTTTTCTGAAGGACTTGTTTTGGAATTAATTTGGAATAAGCTGGGAATGAAGTAATTCTCAGCTGTTATAATAAAATAGTTTTGTTTGGGACTAATTGTGTCTTGTAATGACTAAGTGAGCCTAGGTCACAACACTATGCTCTACAATTTGGGACAACAAATAGGAGCAGAAGGTTGACCTTCTGGGATCATTGGGCAGCTGTGACAGTCACTGGGGAGGATGGACATAAGTGGAAAATTCAAACTACTAGGACCTTCTTCCTATCCTTTTCCCTTGAATTGGCTTCATGATGGACTTTAGCAGATGTTAGGTCCTTCTGGAGAGCAGTCACAAAGCTACACAGCTCTTCCGTCTTACCTTTCTCCTGCCCTGCAGTCCGCCAAAAGTCTCAGCGTGACCGCTGTGAGCCAAGGTTGCTTCTGCAGCATTAACTGGCGGGAAAACATCGAAAAAACAAAAACGGAGCTGCCTCTGACACCACCTCTGTGGCACAGCCATGGTGGTAAAGCCTTAGGGAAATTCCAACTCTAATACGCAGCACGTTCTGCCCCACAAGGATTCTGTTTTCTTTTCCATTTTCCTTTCCCTCCCCCCCTTCTTTTCTTTTTTTTTTAGGAGAAGAGAATTGGGAGAGGGGGGAAGGAAAAACTTCGACACTGACACTCGGAAATTGCCACATGTTTGGAATCTCAGCCAGCTCCCCCATCAAGTTGTGTTCCTGCAAGTCATTATTTCCATTAGACAAAAGAGGATCAGCATTGTGTTAACTCAAGGCAGGATGCTGGGCTTGTGTCTGGCAAGCACACAAGGAAGGACTTCTCACCTCCGAGGCCAGGAGGTCTGTTTGCTTGTTTATATTCCGTCGGTACAGCTGCCCATCTCACCCAAGTAGCTGTAGGCAGCCTACCACCAGTGGTGAAATGTAAAATTTGTTACTGCCAGTTCTGTGGGCGTGGCTTGGTGGGCGTGGGTGGGTAATGTTACGGGTGGGCGTGGCCAACTTTTTTTTAAAAAAAATGTTTTTAAAGCATTTTTTTTACAACCTAGGAAGGATGGAAGGGTAAGTCAACCTCAAGCCGGTCAGGATCAAACTCCTGGCAGTGGGCAGAGTT